GTGTGGTGGGTCACGAGTTGGATTTCTGGCCAGGCCAACGAGTCATTTTTTGTAAATTAATTAAAAAGAAAAGATTTTTACTAATTGCGCTGGTCATTCGACAGGAAATGTTCAGCTCTTCCACCTTACTTCAGATGTAAATTAAATAGAAGTGGCTTAAAACCAACTGTAGGTACCGCCGTTTGTTGTAAAAATGTCGGGAAGCGCCCCCGAAACTGGAGGAGAACCTCGGCTAAAAACCGCTTCATTGGCTTCAAGGAAGTAAACGCAAAAGAGTACATTTTTGCCATTTTTGGATTCAGTGGTTACAAGGAAATAAGCGTGAAAGACAGGATGACTTTTGAAACTTAGTGTTATTGGAGCACCCCCCCCCCCCCAATGGCACAGAAAAAAAATTTTAATTTGTATCAAAAGTCAAATAAATTGAATTCCATTTCGAATTGTTCGTAATCCAAAATATTCGTCAGATTTGGCTCCCAGTGACCCCGCAGACCACAAAGAGTTTATCGCTCGAACCGAGACCTATTTTAAGGCAAAAAATAAAAGTGGTATTCAAACGTTAAAGTGTCGCTAGAGGAATTTTGGGACTCTTGTTGTTGATCACGTTTATGAACGAAGCCAATTTGGAACAAAAATAACAGTGTTTTCTTTGTTAGACCCGAGACTTTTTAGCGCATGTGTTAAATATTATATAATGTAATATAAGAGAAGGGTTTCAGAAATGACGGCAATTTCTATGTTCCGCAGGCTTCAAAAGTCCCATTATCAAAAAAAAATTTTTATGCTGGTACAACTTTCAAGTGTGATAGCCACCAGCTCCGCGATCATTCGTCAAAAAAATGAAACAATCAAAAATTTTATTAAAATTTGCTAAAAAAAAGATTGAACAACGTTTTCCCAAGTAGGCAGTATCCACTTGTGATGGCTTAAAAAAATTGTTTGTATTTACTTTTTTAATAGAAAAACCTTTAAAAAATATACAGACCGAAATTTAAAATATATTTAAAGTTATAGCCACCCACCGTAGTGTGTAGAATTGAAGTGAAGGTCAAACAGCCACAGGGACTACGCTGACATTGTAGACAAAGAATGAATTTTAATGGCAGAAAAAAGTGCAGAAGCCGACAGTAAAGAGGCCAGAACTTTACGCAGGGTAACTGAAAGGAACTCTGAAGGTTTCTGAAAATGATAACTTTGAGGAAGCAAAAGGTTTATTCTATGCCCCAGGTATAGCTAATTGATTTATGTAAGTATTATTTGTTGTCATAACTTTGAGCGCGTTTTTCTCGAAACTTTGTTTTTAAAATTTAGGAGCAACACTGACTTGAAACCGTTTAATCGATTTGATTGAAATTTAACTTGTTATTTTATATATATGTATATAGCTAAATACTAAACTTTTGAAACACTTAGTTTTTTTTTTTTGATAATTTTTATAATTTTTTAAGTAATTTGTCAGCAACCAAAATTCGATTTTCGGTACCTTTTCTCACAACTTTCGATCTTTTTTATTTCAAATGACTGCGAAAGGCTCTACAGGTAAGCAACCTATAACCGCTCAATGTTCCTTCGAGGACTCCGCTTCAGCACAAACAATTATAATAAAATCCATGTAAAATTAAGTAAAAAAATTATATGCTTTAAAGTAGCAATAAAAACATGTTAAAAAAATTAAAAAACGATCGCTTATTATTTTCCAGTTAAAAAAATTCACGAAAAAACGTCGAAAATTTACCCATCACACCGGGCTACTACCTTAAATGCTCAAAAAGACATTTCCTGAGTATGTTATGAGTTTAAAAGTGATTTAATCGTTGAAGACGACGAACCTCCTGCGGGTTAGGGGCTCAAGAATTTACCTGCGGTAAGGCATGCCTGTCGTAAGAGGCGACCCGCGACAGTCGGGTCTTTATACCGGAACGACCCGGATTTTTATCCGGCCAAAGACTGTCACTCCCGCAACATTCAACAAAAAGTACTTTGGGGAATAATTTTGCGGTTACAACAACAACAACAACAACGAACCTCCTGAATACCATGGACTATTCACATCCGATAAAAATGTGGACAATTTGGAAATTGCTCAGGAAGTGACTAATGACGTCGAAACTGAAGCTTACTAATAGCAGTGAAGTCATTCTGGTTCGTCAAGGCCGAGTAGGGTTCGAAAAATGTGTTCGGACTTAAAGGTTACACGGTGTTCTTCGATTTTGATGGCGTGGGGCATCATGAACTCCCGCTACAAGTTCAAATGATCGATAAGAAGTATTACCTACATTTCTCCAACGTCTTTTGCGTGAAGTAATTCCAAAAAAATACACCAAACAGTACATTAGTATTTTCATCCTGATAATGCACCAGTTCACAGTCAGTTGCTCGTTCGCGAATTTTTTACCAAAAACAAGGAGGCATCCTTGTTCGTCATAGTTTTTCATAATTCTAAAAATTATGAGTCGCCGTAGTTTTACAGTCTCAGTTGAAAATACAAGCGCGTCGATGATAAGGAAACTACTATTTTAAAGATCGAATTTGAAATGTGTTTCGGTGATGTGGAAGTTGAGCTTGACCAAGTACATAACCGCAACTGGAGGGGAGAACAGCGACAAAGACGAATATATATAAATTATTATTTTTTTTAAACTTCTTCAGCTACGTAACTTCCTCTGCATTCAGACAGTTCAACACTTCCCACACCACCCCAAACTTATGAGATGAAAACAAAAAATTAAAACCGTATAGTAGAAAAAGAACTCAACAAGCCTTCAATATCTTATGACCTAGATTTTACAAAGGACAAAGATGATCAAACGCTTAAATTGAGTCAATCGGAGCTGAGTGGTCTCATTTGAGATAATGATTTATTACCAGATCAATGTTTTGGCAATGGAATCTTCTGCAGAATGATGTCAGGCTCACCAAGTAGAGACAACATCATAGGGGTGTGGCTCTGTTTTCTGAAAAGAAAAGCAGCCTTGTTTTTTTTGTTGTAATATTAATGACTTGATGAAAAGTTTGAATGTGAGGCATGAACCAACTTTATGGAGACTTTTCATAGACTCATTCAAGCTTAGTATGAAAGCTGTGTTACTTCATATCGGCAATCGTCTACCTTCCATTCCTATTGTGACCATCTGGTTCAGATGAAGGAGATTCCCAGATTCAATCAAATACCAGGAATATAAGTGTAAATTCTGCGGTGATTTAAAACTAACTGCTGAACTCTTAGGAATGCAATTTGAGTATACAAAATGCTATTTCTTTTTATGTATGTAGTATAGCAGGTATATGGGACATTATATTCAAGCAGCTTTGCCTGCACAGAAACCTTAAACCAAGTTAGAAAAACGTATTTGTCGAGCCAAATGTAGATCTAAAAAATGGTCTCTTTCCGCCATTACATATCAAGCTGGGCTTGCTGAAGAATTTTGTCATATCTCTAAATGAAGAAGGTAAGAGGTTTAAACACTTAAGAGGACCCTCTCCTGATTTTTAATGAAAAAATCGATAATTTTACGCAAAAACTGAAAGCCATATATTTGTAGAGCATATATAATATATAAAGGGATTTTGCAATACGATGAATACTTTTCAAATGGCAGCTTCTCGAACACACCTGTGTCACGAACACTGCGAACTTTCAAAAAACTTTGAACCCATTTTTCTCGGAACCGTGTTTTCCGACCTAATTTCAAGCCCCGGGCTTAATCTATCCGTCCGATTTCCTTTATCAAAAAACTGTTTCGAAGTATAGAGTTTTTTGTACGTCTGGAACCTAAGATTGGCATTTTTTAATATTTTTTTAAAGTAATTGAACTGAAAAAAGTAGCAAAAAATTTAACTTTTATAATTGCATGAGCATTATGCAATAAATTTATGGTTAAAATTGTTCCAATTGAGATTCAGGACGAAGAAAATTTCATGATCTTCAAGTAATGACAACGATTTTTTCATTGCAGTCCACTTCAAGGGCGTGCAGGCTTGAAGTTGTTGGGCCATGAGTTTCCGCAGAAGCCAACGGAAAGCGCAATTTTATAGACGTCAATTTGAATTTCGACTATTCTTTGGCCGCTTCAAAATCTCAAATAATAAACATGTTTAATAGTCAAAATCACAAAAAAATGCAAACCGTATTTTTGCCCAATATCAGGGGAGGGTCCACTTGAGAGACAAATTTCCTATCTTGACTGAAGCAATGGTCAAGGAAGTCATCTGTGTTGGGCCAAAAATACGTCAACTTGTGAAGGGCATTCCGTGGTTGTTTCCGAAATAGCAGCTATAACTACTACTGTCTACAACTGTTGTTGTATTTTTTCACTATTTCCAAAAAATAAGTTCTATAAAAGCCATTCGATTTAGTTTTGGAAGTTAAGGAAAAATAAGTCTGGGAAGCTTTCAAAGGAGTTATAGGGAACAAAAGAGATGAGAACTCTCTCAATTGGTTTCCAAACTTCTTCAAAAATTCCACCAACTCGGCTGCAATATGTCTCCAAAAGTCCATTTTCTTCCCTCGCATCTTGATTTTTTCCGAGCTAATTGCGGAGATGTCAGTGCTGAACATGGAGAACTGTTTCATTAAGATATTTCTATGCTGGAACGAAGATATCAGGGCCGCTGTAATAAAGCAATGCTTCCAGATTATGACTGGTTAAATTTAGAAATACTCCAGCGGGTCACTTACAAGGAGGAAGCTAAAAGATCGGGATCAAAGTAAACAGTTTATCCTTCGCATATTTAGACATCTGGAAAATGTTTTTTTTTTTTTTTTTTTGAAGAATTTGTGTATATTTTTTTTAAGAAACTTAGAGCTAATAAATTATTTTATTTGTTATTTTCGTATTTCGTAACTAAAAATTTAAAAGAATTGACTCAGGAAGTAAAGAAAACGTCCAACTTTTTTTCTTTTGTTGCGCAGTGCAATCTATAAGAAGCTCTTTAGATGCCTACTTTCATGTTTTTTCACTTTTCAATGCATTCATATTTTAAAATATCGCTCAACATACCTTTGATCAACTGTTGTTGTAATCCAATGTTCCAAATGTTTGCTCCTTTTTTTCAAATTATTGTCGTTGTTTAGACACTTTTTTAAATTCTTACAATCACAAAGTACAAAAGTAAAATTCCACAGATCATGTATGTACATACATACATAAGTTCTTTATGTATAAATTAACAATTTTCCTTCACCACTCACTTTTCCTGCAATTTTTCAAAAATTTATAACTTTTTCAAGATTTATTGGTAATCGTATGAAGACACTTGTGTGCGTTGAATGGCATCAGCACTTTTTGCTTACTCCCTTTTTTGAGATTTCTTTTTGTTTATTTATTTTTATTTTTTTGTTTTGTTTTGCAGTTGGTTTTGTTTCGCAAAGAATTTCATTTATTTCCACTACACTTCCACTTTTATGCACATGACCATTTTAAAACCAGCACTTTTTTCAAAAATACTCCATCATTGCATAATTTATTTATGCATGCAAAACATAAACCGGTACACACACACACACACAGATACACACACGTATGTACTACGTAAATCGTAAAAAGTAAACACATGAAACTGAATTAGAATTGCAAATAGATTTTGAATGTTTTTTGCCTCACTGATTGGCATTTATATTATTCATGCCCTTCTTCTTTCACTCTTCTTTCACCGTGTACCGCATTCCGTGCGCTAACACAGTCGTGTGATCTCGCTGAAGAACCATTCGCGCAGCTGCGCGTCTATATAGTAAGCGCCTGCGCCCAGTAGAATAGTCAAACAGGCGAAATCCAATGGTCGCTGGTATTTGTGGAGATTGGCCAAGACAGCGCACGACACCAGTAAGCGCAATGCGAAAACTAATGTGGCCAGCATCACCAGCAGCCGGTTGTAGCAGCAAGAATGCAATCGAGAGTCAGCAACCAGCCAAACTGGCAGGCAGCAGACGCCAAAGCTGGTTTACATACGCACAAACGAACACGCCGACAAAATCCAACCCAACTGGGTGACGTTCGAACTTCGGTGTACGACGGTATACGACGGTGCACGGTCCACGGTCCACGGTCCACGGTCGACGCGAAACCGAAAACGAAAATGAAATGCAGAATGCAGAATGCAGAATGAAGAATTGCCGAAATGAAATTCGTGTTTAACTTTATGTGCAAATGTGTGTGTGCCACTGCACGACATACGTACATAAATGCAGCCGACCGTGTGCTAGACTGTAACGCGGTGAAAAGTCTTTTTCAACGTCAGCAATGCACTTTTTCTGGGCTTAACTTGGTCAGTTGGTGGCTAGTCTTGAGCCGCGTAATTATGGTAGATAAAATTAATAGAAGCAAAGGCGATCATGCAACCACCGCAGAGAACATTAAAATTTGGTGAAAATGCAACACTTTTCGATAGCATAAAAATTCGATTTTATTACAAAAAAAAAAAACACCAAACGCAAAAATGAAAAGTGGAAATTTTCAATAAATTTCATTAATCGGAAAAAGTGGTGCACAAGAACGTTGTCAAAATAAGTGTAAACGAAATACACCATTTAAGTCTAAAGCACAGTTTTCACACACACAAAACCACTTAGTATGTATGTACTCTTATACGAGTATATGTATGTACAATACACCGTTACACTTTTCTCTGATCTCCTCCGCTCTGTCGTACCGAAGCGAAAAATGAGCTTACACTGTGCACAAGCGATCTGCACGTTCAGCCGCCACAACGGTTCACTAACGAATGCTCCAGCTGCCCCAAAGTTCTGGCACAAGCAGAGCCGAACTCGACACATGATCGGCCCAAAGAAAGAGTCGCTTACGGTTGACCGAAACCAGTTGGTGTGCTTACTCCAAATTCGTATATAAAATCGGCTTCGTGCAATGCTCATGTGCTGCTTCTCGCTGCAGATAAAGCCAAAAAAGTGTAAATGGTTAAGAGAGAAAGTAAAAAAGCGAAGAGTTTGTATGCACACTTACTCAGTTCGATTGGGTAGGCCAAGTTTGCAGCTTGAATCTTTTGTTCTCCCAGTGCGTGTTTGTGTGAGAGAACGTGTATGAGCACGGTAAAGAGAGAAAGAGAGAGAGAGAGTTTACGCAAGAGCGCTGGCAAACAAATATTCTTGTTTTGTTAAAAACTTTTTCTTAATACTTGCGTTGGTATGGGGTATGTTTGCGTTTGTTTGTATTGAATTTTTATAACTTTTTCTAACTGTAAATTATCGAAGTTGTTTCATTTAACTCGTGACTTTGGTCGCCGGCGACTGTGCTAAGCTTCTGAACAACCTACATTTTTATTTTCAGTGTAAATTGGAAGTGTAAATGTATTATTTGGCGAATGTAAACCGTATTTTTGCACAATATCAGGGGAGGGTCCACTTGAGAGACAAACTTCCTATCTTGACTGAAGCATTGATCAAGGAAGTCATCTGTGTTGGGCCAAAAATACGTCAACTTGTAAAGGGCATTTCGTGGTTGTTTCCGTAATAGCAGCTATAACTTCTACTGTCTTAAACTGTTGTTGTAATTTTTTCACTTTTTTCAAAAAATATGTGGTCTGAGAGAGTTCCATAAAACTGAAACCCAAAAGCCATTCGATTTAGTTTTGGAAGGTAAGGAAAAGGAAGCCTGTGAAGCTTTCAAAGGAGTTAAAGAGAACAAAAGAGATGAGAACTCTCTCAATTGGTTTCCAAACTTCTTCAAAAATTCCACCAACTCGGCTGCAATATGTCTCCAATAGTCCATTTTCTACACTGGCATCTTGATTTCTTCCCAGCTAATTGCGGAGATGTCAGTGCTGAATATGGAGAACTGTTTCATCAAGATATTTCTGTGGTGGAACGAAAATATCAGGGCTGCTGCAATAAAGCAATGTTTCCAGATTACTGCTGGTTTAAATGTAGAAATACTACAGAGGGTCAAAACCGAAATTTCGTACTCCTTTTCATTTTCCCACAAAAAATATGCAAACTTTGCCTGATTTTTGCCCAATATCAGTGGAGGGTCCCCTTAACATAGAAACTCTAAGCCGACAGATCATCAACAATGTCATGTCTTTTCTTATTGGTTCCTTGAATTTTATTTTTGGAAATTTACCAAAAAATCATCTTGACTGATGAGGTCCATTTTCACTTGCCAATGAGCAAAAGATTCTCAACTGGAGCTTTGAAAACAACAACAAGATTTATTATAGAAAAGGCTCTCCATTATCAGCGTGCAAATGTTTGATGCGGTTTATGATTCGGCGAGCAGCAGTTATGTTGAATGGTATCCAAAGATGATTAAGGAATTTTATGGCCGGAATTGGATGGCATTGATCTTGACAACGTTCACTTTCAACAACACGATGCTAGGTGCCACACAAGCAACGAAACCATCGATTCATTGAGATCTTGTGATTTAATACCTTGCGACTTCTTCCTTTGTGGCCACATGAAAGAGAATACCTGCACCTGCAGACCAACGTCGATTCCAGACCTCGATGGTGTGGAATTCGTAAAGCTATTAAGGACATACAGCAGTCGCTTCGCAATTTCGTGATGGAAAATTTCATAAAAAGGATACGGTCTTGTAAGCGTAGCAGTGGCCAACACTTCCTGATATTATTTTCTATTAACAATAACACGTCTTCGTTTCTACCATTTTCCATTTTTCTTGGAATATCAAAATAATAACTCTTATTGGAAAACCCTATATCTCAGAGTACAAAAAAAAATAATTTTTGGTTTTTTTTTTATTTTCTCGTAGTACTGAAGTGAAAAAAAGGTGACGGACCCCATGTTGTTGTTGTTGTTGCGGTTCGCTAACCCCGCTTAGGTGCAGGTTTGATCAATCTAAGTCGCCAAAGTCAATGCTAATGGGAGTGCCAGGAAACGAGCCGTCTCGACGGGGTTGGACCAAAAGTAGAGGGAGTTAGATGAGTTGGTTTGAGAGAGGATGTCAAAAGGTGCTGCTACAGTATCTAGACCTGAGTTGTGTCACGGTCACGCGGATTTCACGAGGCAACACGAGCTCGTTGTCTACTATAGGTGGGGATTTTTCTCCGAACACGTCATTTACTAGAAGGGAGTCCTTAAAGGTGTTGACTGACTCCTGGTGAATGGCGTTCACTGCTTGTCTGTACGCCGTCCTGTCCAGCGGTTGTTGCACGTGTTGCTGGATTGCGTCCTTAAGATCTAATACTCCCTTTCTGATGTGCCTAAGTGCAGGTTCAGCTTCTATTAGGTGCCTATTGAACTGCTTGCACAGCAAAGCATTATGCTCTTTAACTAGTGGTATATGTAGATGCTTCGCTGTGCAAGTGATGCTCCGGCGACATCAGGAGATTTCCTGTCGTGGTCCTGAGGGTGGTGTTCTGGCAAGCCTGTAGCTGCTTCATCTGCGTCTCGTTCGTTCCCGTCGCCCAGATCAGTGCAGCATAGTTTTTTTCGACCGGCCGGCCAATGGCTTTATAAGCTGCCAGCAAAGTTTCTTTGTCTTAACCCTAGGTGCTGTCGGCTAGTGCTTTGAGTATTTTGTTGCGGCTCTGGAGTTTTGCGCCGATTGCGGTCGTATGCGGAGTGAAGGAGTGCAGACTGTCTAGTGTTACTCCAATATGTTTGGGTTATTTACCGATGAATTTTTGAACCCCCTGCTTAATTTTTTTGGGTTTTGATGTTTTACCTCGGAATATTACTGATGATTATCGACCACTCAGGTAGCCCTTGACCCACCTCCGCAACCCCGGTGGCAATGAGAATTCCTCAATGTCCGTTAGTAGCACTGAATGATTGACTGTGTCAAAAGCTTTTGACAACTCCAGTGCTATCAAGACAGTTCGCGCCCATTGTCGGTTTTGGTTAACGCCATTGACTATCTGGGTGTTTATGGCGTTTAGTGCTGCTATGGTGCTGTGCACTTTTCGGAGGGCATGCTGGCCGGTGGCCGTCAGCAGTGATTTCGCGTTCAATTTGAATGCTGATATTATTATGCTGGCTCTTAAATAACCGAAAGCCTACAACCACAAATTTTTGCCTCCGAATAGAGACGTCGAGGCCGAAACGTGAATTTCTGACATGGAATAAGCGAGGCGTCTTAGTTTAAACTGTAGTCCCCAACTTATGTTGAAAAAACAACAGAGGAAGAGCTCGTCCGCAAATCGCCTCAGCGGTTACAAAGCACCAATTATTTATGCTCAGAGCCAGTTTGCATGGCCGGGTATTGGCGCATTGGGCATACAATTCGCTAGTTATCGCTAGCTTAGTCGGCAAGCCATCAGCTCCGGCAGCCTTGATATTCTTCAGGAATGTCTGTTTTAGCATCAGTTAAGCTGGCTGGGAACTGGTTTACTCTGTAAACTCAAAATGCTTTGAAAGGCATTCGTGTTCTCATTTCTCCTTCGTACACCAATAATCTCCGGCATTGAAAACCTACGAAATCAATTTCCTCAAGTTTTTGAAGATTGACAGTTAGCATTCTTCATTTCATTATAACAGCTCTCTTTACACTCGAAGGCCAATAACTTTCTCGACGGCTATACGTAGAGAGCTTGAAATGCCTTCAATCGAGTTGTCTTCAGAGTGCCCTCAGAGATAAGAAATTCAAGGCGAGAAGATAGCTGCTTCTGTTTGTTGTGTTTATTGATTTTCTAGGTCAAACCTTCTCTGTGTTTGCTAATGTCTTTGCTTGGCTGCAGAAATATAATGTCCTGAGTCCGGGATCCCAGGAGATGTTTTCTATCTCTCACAATATGGTCGATCTGGTTGAATGTCTTTTGATCCGATATTTTTTTTATGTCGCAATCTGTCCCTGCTGATAACCATATTTCAGATCCCGGCGAAGTCTATTAGCGCATTAAAAGATGTTCCGGCGTAAAGAGTGAATTGTCCGACTCTGTACCTTCTTTTTCCACACGGACACTAAAGTCAACAAGTAACATTTTAGTTCCGCGACAAAGGCAGCGCTCATATGAACGTATAAGGGCTTGTAGAAAGCATCTTTGGGCACATCGTCCTTCTCTTTCATTGAGGTGTGGACTCAAATTAGCTGCACATTGAATAATGTCATTTTGGTGCGTACTGTGACGAGAAATTCGTTCATCAGATGGACCCTCCTTAAGGTATTAAAATAGTTAAATATTTCTCCTATACCTACTGATTCGAAATCGGTTCACCGACCATTTTTAACCGATTTCATTTTGTGAACCGAATCCATCTACACATCTGAGTTTATGCAGAGATGGTTCTAATTAAATTAGCCTCATTATAGAGATAAATTGGTCACACATACGTATATGCAAATCTATTTTCTGTAGCTGGAAGACACGGGACTCTTTTCGGGTTTCGGCGTAATGTGTAGTCAAAACAAATATTCAGTGAATGCGAAATTTCATATGGAACGATTGCAACGTCTTTGAAAACTATTTCTAAGTAGTACCGATGATTCCAAAACGGAGATTTTTCCCTAGAGAACGAATCCGAGAAAATCGACCAAAATCTTCCACTGATGACGTCACTGTAGCTCTGGTAAAGTCCAAAATTGACGAAGACCCACGATTGACACAAGAAAGGATTGCTAATGAATTGGGCTTGAATGCCCTGGCTGCTTCGCGAATATTAAGTAGTCGTCTGGGATACATGAAGAAATCTGCTCGATGAAATACCACGAATTTTAAATGAGGCCCAAAAGTGGCTCTAGCGCATTTTGACTTTTTCCTAAACAAACTCGAAAATGGGCAGTCCAG